AAACAAGATCCTAAAAATAGGATCTTCCCAAGAAAGAAACCAACATAAAAAAAAACCAGAGGCCATAAAAACAGCAGAGGAGAACAATTACAGCAGTAACAGACTCTGTTTCTATGGAGATGGACATGAAAGAGAAAATATTTATCAGCTTGGCAGTTCTTAGGCCAGAAGGGGAACACTGTAAGTTTGCAATGGAAACAGGACAAAGTAAGAGTGTCAGCACTTCAGGGATGCAGTAACATCTGGGAACTCAGCTGCACAAGGCCACAACTTTTCCTACTGCCCCACTAGACGTGCAGCAATTTTTTCAACTCCTGTAAAGTATTTCAGGTTGGGAGAAAACCCAGTGGCTCACTTTCAACCTGACTTTCTTCAGATCTCAGCCAATCCACCTGCTCACACTTATAAAACCTTTGTAGTTCTGAATTGAAGGTCACAGATAAAGGCCTTAAAGGAATTCAAAACAAACAAAAACCCCTCCAAACATTTCCTGCTGCTCCTCATAAGTTTTCAATCTCTTTTATTGCTAAACCTGAAGTGCATAAAACCTAGGGAAGAAGTATTAACAGTCTCTTGCCAAACAAAAGCTTTCAGCTTTGGCTCTTGGCTGAACCACGTTCAATGGCTCTTCTCTCCTGCCAAAGGCCATCAAGCAGCACAGCAGAGAAATTGGAAACTGGGTGCCAAAAGGTTTCTAGGGCACAAGTGAATGCTCTGGACTCCAAAGGCCTCTGGAGAATTATGCAAGAGGAAGAAAAAAATCCTTCCCAACAGTGGTGAGATGAACCTGACATTAATCACACCACCACAAGGCTTTTGGTTCCAGAGAGAGTAGCAAAGGCATTGTCAGAAATACTGAAGCAAAAGGTCTTCCTGAGATGGATTTTCTGAACTGAGCAACTCTGCACCTCGGGTGTTTCTTTCCTGCAGCTATTTTGTGTTTACATGTGCCCTTCACTCATACCAATTCTCAGGTATTTCTTTCCTGCAGCTATTTTGTGTTTACATGTGCCCTTCACTCATACCAATACATCACTCGTGGGGTTTGAGGGACCATATAACTAGGAGTGGGTAATAGATCAAGCCAGTACTCATCTGCTTTGCAGATTACCTGCTTGTACTGACAGGAAAAGGAGTCACAGGGATGTGGAGAAAAGTGAGTAGTTCCGAGAAGCCCCAGAGTGTGCCAGCTGACACCCTCACAGAACACTGAAGGTTGTAATTTCGGTGGATCCAAGCCACTGAGTGCATTATAGAGGAGTCAGCATGAAATGCCAATGGCCAAGGCAAAAGAAAAAACCCTTCTTGTACCTGCTGCCAAAGGATGATGTTGGCAACTGGTGCTTGATAAGAAAAACAGCTACATCCACTTGTGAGACACATTGGTAGGGATGGTAGAATGCCCTAGGGATCAAAGGCACTGGGTTAGCATGGATAGTAGCCATTCTGGTTGATTCAAAAAGGCTTATTTTAGTGAGAGACAACTCTGTAAAACTGCAGCTGAGTGGCTGATGGCCTAGGATGAACAGCTTAGCACCAGAACTGAGCGTGTCCCCAGGAGATACACCTGTCATGGAAAGCTGCTGGCTACAGCTGAGCAGGTCTCTGCCTGTTCTGCCACAGTGATCAAACCCTCTCCATCCCTCTGTTTGCTCACTTTATGTGGCCGAGTCCATCCCTGTCCAAACAAGAGCCAGATATCCTGTGGCACAGGAGCCAAACATCAGTGATAAGGGCAGCAAACATCATGCACCAGAGCAGGGAAGGCCCACGATACCTCACCCCTGGCTGCGTCTCCAGAGCTGCAGGCATTTATTTAGAAGGACACTGATCATCACATTAAAAAATGAGCTACTGTCCAGTGGAAAAAACCAACCAGCCAAGCCACATGTCTGTGCAGAGGGCTCGACACAGGAGCCTTTCTCAGCATCCTCTCACTTCCACCTGCAGACAGGTGAGAAGGAACACACTTTTTGCTGCTTCCCTCTGCTTTGGCAAAAGGCTGGTTCACACTGGGAGGAGGAAACAGTTTGCTAGCTGGCTGCCCCCCTTCCTGTTATCAAGAGATATATAAAAAGCCACAGCAAAACAAGGAACAAAACCTCCTCCAAAATAAAGCCATGGTCACTGGCACAGGAACATCTCTAGGCTGGGTGTGTCTCATGGTCCAGTCACACAAAGCTTTGGGTCTGGAAAGCAAAGAAGCAGCAGCAGCAAATAAAACTGAGGGCCACAGAACTAGAGGGTTACTCATGTTCCTTGGTTTTGAGAGATCACTTTGAAAAGGACTTACTTTCCAAGCTCTGGCAGTTGTTCTTGGGATGATATATCCCATTTGTTACTCGAGAGCCGTTTTAGTACCTTTTGGCCCACTTTGTATCTGCTCCTTTGCTTTGCACAGGATGATACAATGGAATATTTAAAGGCTGCGAGTCCTTTCATTCCCAGCTCACTTACTCTTGGAATTACTGCCCCTGGGTCCCCCACACCTGCAAAAACACTAGTTACCACCTGCAAATTTAGACATAAATGGGTGTTAAAATGCATTAATCTCGACATACCATTGATCCATTCCTTTCCCTGATACCAGGAGAACTGTTGGAAGTGTACCCTCTGCAGTGTGGAAGAATTGAGTAACAGGAAGCTCAGTATGATATTTAGTAGTGTTAAACAAACACGAGCACTGGAGTTCAGCTCTCTCTCCCTCTCAGCAGTTATATGAACCATTGGCATGAGGTACAGGACAGACAACAGAAGATATCTAGAAATAAACATGGACCCTGTATTCCAAACTTACATATTAACTCCAGGGGACCAGTGGTATTCTTGCTAACACTGCATAATGCTGCAGGGGAAAATTCCAGAGAGCTTCCAAGATGCAACACTGCACATCAAGGCTCTCTCCTGTGCTGAGCTTCAGCTTTCTCCTCCAGCCCTGAGCTGTTGTTTTCTGGAGACTGCTGGTGCAGCCTGGGAGCACCTCAAAAGCTGCTCTAAGGCATCATTCACCACTCCCACATTGTTTCGCCACCTTATGGTCAGCCACAGCCTGATGTTTGTGGGAAACGTCTGTTCTTTCCTCAGGGCAGAAGGTAAATGCAGGTTGCTGAGTCAGCTCTTTGCACTCATTTTATCCAAGATCTCGATAAAAGTATTGTCCAGCCCCTGCATTCCACGTCTCAATGAAAGTATTGTCCAGCCCCTGCATTCCACCTCTCACCTCCACCTCTCAAGGCAAAACATGGACAGAAGCTTCCAGACTTGGAATGCTGCTGTAGCCAAATGCCAGGGATTTAAGGGCCTGCACAGAATAAATCTTCAGCCATTCTGAAGGACACGGGTTAAGCAAAGAGACCTGTGATTTAGAGGTAGTTCTTTTCTGACAGAGGGATATGATCAGTAAAATAAAATAATCACAGGCTCAAGTGTTTAACCAGCTCCTTCCTGGGATTTTGTTGGGCTAAAGCAGCACAGGCCTGAAAGGTCCAGATTGCTCATCATAATTCCCATCAGTCTCCAGAAAATTGGGATTTTGCTACAACCACCTGAAAATAATCCCAATTTCCAACATGCTGATATTTCTGACACTGCTTCTCTGCCCACCTGGCTCTTCCCCACCAGCCTTCATGTAAGAGTTATCCTCTGAATCCCAGAACAGAACCCTGTTCCTTCCTAACAGGAATGCTGTTCTTTGCCTACGAAAATATCAGGACTCGGGAAAGCTGGAAAACTTTTTGCAACAGCAGCAGCCAGTAGAAATTTCACTGTGTCTAACTATTCTGTGAAATCCTCTCAGTTTTACGTGGCTATTCCTGGGGAGCAGATTGGCCTCTCTGGAACACAGGATGCATTGCCTTGGCATTTTCCTGAATGGAAGTTGCCTGCAAATATTTAGTGCTGAGGCATGTCACCTCATCTGTTTAGGGTGTGTGTAAAAACCTGTGTTCAGAAACAACGTGAAAAGGGTGTTTTACTGATTTAGTTGGTCAAATTTCCAGAAAACTGGTAATTGAATTGTTCTCATTACTCTCACTAGGAATAACAGAGAGTTATGGCAAAACTGCCCATGTGAGGAATTCAAACAGAGTGGCAAAGGGAACCTTAACGACTAAGGAGGCGTTTGAAGACCTGACACTGAGCTGTACCAGGTGGGTTCTCACTGGGGGAAGCTGAGTTGCAAGGCAGAGCACAGCCTCCAGCTGAACGGGTTGACATCCAGACACTGGAGAGAGAAACTCATTACCATCAATCCCAGTATTTCCCCCTGTGGAGCTGCAGCACTTTGCCCTCAGTAAGGATCCAGCCTCACCCTTGTTGGGTTTGTTTGAAGCCTCTCGCTGAGTGTTCTAGAGAAATCATTTCAGGGTTATTCCATGTCCTGAGGCTCTGTGCAAGCTGCACAGTTGTTCCTGTGTCTGATCTCCTAAGTTTCTGCCTAATCAATAGGAGATGTTTCAGACAGGGGAGCGATGCTTAATTAAGCCTCAGACCAGCCCCAGATGTCTAGAGGAGCCACCTCAGCCTCATAAGGTGATTGAAAATCAAAACTCTCTCATTCCCAGTGGCTGAGCCCTGCCTGGGTGAACTGTTACTGTACAATACCAACCTGCTGTGCTTTTGAACAAATACAAGCAAAAAGAGAAAAAAGGCTCTAGGACCAGCCCTGATGACTTCTTTGTGTGATGCCTTGAACTCCTTGTTTGCCATTTGATAAGGAAATTTACGCAAAACTTTATCTTTTTGGGTGCTGGAAGGTTTGACCTTCTCAGGACAAAAAGGCCCAGAGTGACAGCACACGATAAATAACTAATATCACATCCATTTTTTGGCAAGGGCAGCACAAGTGTTGTAATCTTCTTCAGGCCAAGTGGAAATGTACAGATGCCAGCTCTGGGGTTAATGTTTCACAGGCACAGCCACCAAAGGGTATATAAGCCAATCTCTCCCTTCCATCTTCCTAGCACTTCTGAGCAGTTTTGCTCACATCATAACCTGCAGCCATGAAGTGGCTAACGTTCGTTTCGCTCATTCTCCTCCTCAGTTCTGCTACGTCCAGGAACCTGCAAAGAGTTGCACGAGATGCAGGTAAGAAAGGACTGATCAGTTGTCCTGGAAGTCTTTGCTCTATCAATTTGATGCCTTTAATGCCGTTTGGCAAATAGTTCTTGTGAGCCTGATCCATAGAGGAGAGAAAAATATGAGTGACTTGAAAAGAAAGTAAAGGAAGGAGCAGTGAGGAGATGGGGAGGGCACTCAGGACAGCTCAACTGGAGATGGGGAAGACACTCAGGACGACTTATCTGGGCAACCAGGTGTGGTGCCATCCCTTTGCAACATCTCTGCAGTGCAAGAGCAGGGGCCTGTGACTCAGAATCCATTCCTTTCTGGTGTGGAGGAAGTGGATGCACTGTTCTGTCTTTGGACAAATTAATACTTAGTGTTCCCAGAGAGAAAGTCGTACTAATACTTGCTCTAGCCAAACTGCAGCTGCATTGCTTCGTTTGTAGAGTATGCTCATGCTGGTGATGCAAAGGACATGTTTGCTAACCCTTAATAATAAGTTACAACAATCATTTGAATATCTGAATTAATTTGGTGCTTACAGAGAATTAGAATCCTAAAAAATCACGTTTGGGTTCCTTTAGTGAGATGAGTGTGTGTAAGAGTTGGGTACCTGCAGACAAATGGACAAGAAAGGCCATCTGAGACATCAAGGGTCCAAGTTCTCACACTCTGAAGTATGAGAGTTGGGTGACTGCTGAAGTTTGGGCTGAGGTGCCCAGGGTGTGTTGCAGGGCTCAAGTTCTCATACTCTGAAGTATGAGATTTGGGTGACTGCTGAAGTTTGGGCTGAGGTGCCCAGGGTGTGTTGCAGGGCTCCATGTCACAGGGAGCATCGCTGCTCTCTCTGTTTGCCTCCCCAGACCATAAGAGTGAGATCGCTCGTCGCTACAATGACCTCAAGGAAGAGACCTTCAAGGCAGTGTAAGTGAACATTCACCTGACATTTCCTGATTGTTTCTTGTCGTGATATTGGACAAAAGGAGGGCAGGACACTGTGGGTGTGTCTCACTGAACCGCGGCACTGAGTTCGCCTCTTCTGTCACTATGCAGAGCCCACAGGTATTTTAAGACCTGCCAAAGTCACAATGACTTTCTTGCTTTCTGGGAAAAGAACTCCCTGCAAACCTGGTTAAAAAAAGCCTCTATTCATTCTGTGGAGATAAAATAGGCATGAGGAATAGAGGTTTGATAACCTTAGGATGGAGATAAATTATGCTGAATTGAGACATTGCCAAAAACATCCAAACAAACCACAAACCTCAAAAACCAAACCTGCAACAGGTTTTGTGAGACAATTCCATGCTTTTCTTTTAAATCTGGTTTTGGGAAAGGCAGAGAGAAAGACAACTGCTAAGAGAAGGCTGCCTGAAGGTCGTGGCTGCTACAACAGCCAAATCCAGCTCAGTTTGTAGCCTTTAGGCATATGGTGGTGAAAGTGGCAGAACACTCCAATCACAGCCTTTTCTGGTTTGTTTCTAATCTGTTATTCAAGACCTCAGTTCCTGGGAGTAAGGTTAGAAAATGCTCAGGAAGGAGGTGAGAAGAAGAAGGATGTGAGATCCAGTACTCTGGTTAGCCTATGTGCATGTCATTTGAACAAAACCAGGTTTGGTTCCAAAGTGCCTTTGAAATTATTGCCTGTTCTGTTTCCCCTTCTCATATTCCAACCTGTGCTCTGTGTTTCAGCACCATGATCACATTTGCCCAGTACCTGCAGAAGTGCTCCTACGATGCTCTGTCTAAGCTGGTGAAGGACGTGGTTGACCTGGCCCAGAAGTGTGCAGCCAACGAGGATGCTCCCGAGTGCGCAAAATCACTGGTAGGCAGCGAAGCCTTCGACACTCTGCTCCTCCTCACTCCGTGGCAGCTGCCAGGATCACCCTGGTTTGAGGGTTTATACCTGAACCTTTCAGGGGGCCTGTTGTCACTGGCTAATGCTCAGATTTTAGTGCTTAAACAGCTTGTTTTATCAGGTTCTCAAACTCTGCCTTTCAGCGGCGCCTAAACGATCCATTTATTGGAGGCCAAGCAGCACACTTTGGTACATCAGGTTTAGCATTGCCTGGAAACAAATGCTGACATTTAGTACAAAACCTCAGCTATAAAGCACAGGCCTCATTCTGGGCATTAAAGTGACCAAAGTGTGTGCATTTGCACACTAGAGTGACTGGATAAGGTATCTGTGCTGATTTAAGGCACTTAGCTTGAGAAGGTTTAAAAGAACTCCTCTAACACCAGGTCACAAAAGAAGTTTGCAGATGTTTAGGGTCCCTGGATGTTCAGCCCCTCAGAAAGCTCAGGCTTTGTGCTCTTGTGAGCTCTAACCTGACTACATGAGCTCTCCCTAAAGCTTTCCCAAGCTGCTTATCAAGTAGAACATCAAATCCTGCTTCAGTTCACCTGAAAATTCAGTTTAGTCAGGGTATGAGTAAAAGCAAAAAGACAGTAAAAAACTGTCTTGCCCAGAGTATTTTGAATTGCAATCAATTTTCTTTCCATGCAGGATCAGAACAGTTTTGCTATCAGACCACATAAAAATTCATGGAACTGTGTGAAAAGCAGTGGATTCTTTTGCTTTATGGTTTAAATCTTATCCAGGGAAAATGTATTTACTCTTCAGCGTAGGTTTGCAGAGCAATAGCCAACACATCTCCCTGTCTGAGCACTAACTATGCCCTTGGCACCTCCCTCCCAGCCTGCTATTTTCCTGGATGAAATCTGCCAAGTGGAGAAGCTGCGCGACTCGTACGGCGACATGGCTGACTGCTGTGCCAAGAGTGATCCCGAGAGGAACCAGTGCTTCCTGTCCTTCAAGGTGCACCAGCCAGACTTCATTGAGCCCTACCAGAGACCAGCTGCTGATGTGATCTGCAACGAGTACAAGGACAACAGGGTGGCCCTCCTGGGACAGTAAGCACCACGGCTCTCTGGGGCTGCTCGAGTGTTTAGTCATGCAGAAAAGGGATCTTCCATCTCCACAGAGTGTGTGGACATAGTTCAGAGGTTGGATTTGATGATCCTGGAGGTCTTTTCCAACCTGAATGATTCTATGGCATTAGAAACAGTTGCAAGTATCCAACCTCATCCCTGCATGCATAAACCAGTCCATATATATGCAGAACTCTGACCACGTTTTCATCCCATGCTAGATCAGGTTTTTCCATTCAAAATGGGTGTTACACATAAACCACTTGCTCAGTCCATATATATGCAGAACTCTGACCACGTTTTCATCCCATGCTAGATCAGGTTTTTCCATTCAAAATGGGTGTTAAGGGATCATAGTTTATGCATCCTGGATGACTTTGTGTTCCCAAAACCCCTGAAGAACCACAGTGTTGCCAGTACTGATGTAATAATTTACTTGCTCCCACTACATCCTTCCTAGTATTGGTTTGATAACTTACTTTTTCTAGTTCCCACTCTCCCATTGTAATTGGCAGGAATGAAGAAAAATAACAGTAAAAAAATAAAAACTGGCAATAAAATCTTAGTGAAAGGGCCAGAGATTAATTTCTTACACTGAAAATCAGAGTCAGGCAGTACATTTTAAGAAGCAGGTGTGCACCAAACTGGGTGGCTGACAACCCTTCCCTCGCTGGCAAGGAGTCCTGCCTGGGTAACAGTGGGGGTGGCAGAGCATTTCCCATCAGCAGGCATCATTACCTTTCTAAACTAGAAAAGGAAAGTTAAAGAAGCTGCAGGAGATTTAAGGCCATTTGCTGTCGTCACTGGAATGTGGAACTCATGTTTTTCTTTTCCTTCCAGCTTTGTCTATACAGTTGCCAGGAGAAACCCCTTCCTGCATGCCCCAGCAATCCTGGGTCTGGCTATTGAGTATGAACATGCTCTTCAGAGCTGCTGCTCAGAGAGTGACGTTGGTGCCTGCTTGGATGAAAAGGTACAGCAAATTTGCCACTGTGGGTGGAACACTAAGGAGCTGAGTGAGAAACAGCTAGTTTCCCTGTTCATGCAAATCTTGGTGTGAAGGACTTGCAGGGACAGGTCAGGATTGACCATGTCTGTTGGGTGTAATCAGTTTGGTGTGACAATGTGCATCCTGTCACCACAGGCAGCTACCATCAAGGAGAGAGCCAAGATGATCAATAAGAAGCAGCAGCATGGATGTCGGATCCTTGAAAAGTATGGGGAGAGAACCTTCCAGGCCATGTAAGTGCCAACCATTTCTTGTACCACAAGTAGGCACTGAGGGAGCAGTGGGGAAAAAAGCTCAGCTGTGAGAGTTGCAGAGCAATGAAACCATCCCTGGAGCTGATCCAGGAGATGCAGAACCAGAGATTCCAGGGTGTTTAACCCACATTTTTTGCCAGAGCTGTGCCCTGTTCCAATGCCTACAGCTTTAAGTGATGGGCACATCACTAATCAGCAAAGCAGAGTTGCTAGTTTGAACCTTCAAGCAATCAACAAGTTAAATTTGTCAGAATCTCAGCTGTTAAAAGATTTGGTTTTAAGGTTAAGGAAGACTTTTACAGTTAGCAAGTGGACACAGAACTGCTTTCCATGTGTGGCCAGCCTGACACACCAACACTGACTGGGATTATCTTATGGATATAGTCAGCTTTGATTTACAGGTCTGATTAGGGCTATATCCATCTGTGCCAGGTAGTTTTAAGTGCTTTCCAGTCTCTCAAGACTCTAGGGTGGGATTCTTACACAAACAGATTAGACACAAGCACCACAAACTTGTTTCTTTCTGGCTTTACTGGTGCTGATGTCAATGCCCTTTTTTTAGCCACCAGAATTCATATGCAAAAAGTGAATATTCCCTTGAAGCCATGCTGATCAGATCCAGTGTTAGTGACTTGCAAGGTTTCTGCTCCCTACAAGGCTTAAAAACAAGTGTATTTGTCTCCTCCTGTGCCCAGGAAACTCGCTCGCATGAGCCAGAAATACCCCAAGGCTCCGTTTGCAGAAGTTGTCAAAATGGTCCATGACACTAAGGATGTGTACAAGGAGTGCTGTGAAGGGGACATGGTAGAGTGTGTGGATGACTGGGTAAGCTCACTGTTTCAAAAAAATCTAAACATCCTTGGAAAAGGTTTAGAGAGAGAATGATTTGTGCAGCTGCTCATTCACAGCCCAGGGAACTTGAACTGGCACCCTACACTGCTGGAAGGTTCCTCAGGCACTGAGAGCTCCTGGTCAGCTCAGCTGACTGTGACTGTGGCTGTTGCACGTGTGTTTGGCTGCAATCAAAACATTTATCAGGGAGATGGTTTGATGGTGTTTACTCACTTCAAGTCACTCAGAAATGAAGCAAAAGAAAGCAGAGGCAAAAGGCCCAAAAGTTTCTTTCCTGTCCTTGTTTTGTCATGCTTTGTCCCCTGCCAGAGCTGTGCATCTCGACAGCACTGTCGAGATCCCTGAGGTGTCCTTCTCACAGAGCACTCAGTCACTTGCTTTGGCCTTCCAGAGTTTGTGTCTGAGTTTTTAAGATCAGGGAGGGAACTGCATTCACCCTGTGCCTGTGAAGGTCGTGCTGAGCACATACTACTCATCCCTCTGATTACTTTTGTCCATATGGAGGCAGCATTTCTTTGGGAAAGGGCTGAATGGAAAGGGAAGAGTCTGAAACAGAGGAGATTACTTAAACTGCCTCTGAAGCACTATCTCACAGCTTGTCTGATTCTGTGTTTTCATTTCAGTCGGAGCTCTTGCACAGTTTGTGCGCTAAGCAAGATGTTTTCTCAAGCAAAATCAAGTCCTGCTGCGAGAAGCCAGTTCTGGAACAGACCAAGTGCATCATTGAAGCAGATTTTGATGACAAACCTGACAACCTGCCCTCACTGGTGGAGAAATACGTTCAGGATAAGGAAGTGTGCAAGAGCTACGAGGCAGGCCATGACGCGTTCCTGTCAGAGTGAGTAGTGTTGTCCACCCGACTGCATCTCCCCTGGGGAGCTGTCCTTGTGTGGTTTGGGGGCTCTGATCCATCTCTGTGTGTGCCTTTCAGGTTTGTGTATGAGTACTCACGGAGACACCCCGAGTTCTCCACCCAGCTCATCATGAGGATCACTAAGGGCTATGAAGCACTCCTGGACAGGTGCTGCAAGACAGACAACCCTGCTGAGTGCTACGGAAACGCTGTAGGTGCAAAGCTTTCTGTGCAGATAACTGCAAGGCTTGGTTGGACCCTGTCATGAAACCATTAGAAAAGCAGATAGAAAGCTTTTGGAGAAACTAATCCCAGGGGAAGTTAGTGTTCTGGTGGGAGATGGAGCATTCCAGGGCCCATGGCAAGCATACAGGGTTCTTCTCAGCTCACACAGTAACTTCAGTGGTCACCTTACAACATTTAAAGCTAGTCTCACTCAACTGCCTGTTGCCTTTGTCTCTCAAAAGTGATTCTACTTGTCCTGGAGATGACAATCAATAGCTGAATTACTCCGTGGGCTCCACTGTCTGTACTGAGTATGCTCGTGGATTGTGATGGGAACAGGCATGACCAGCTCACAGAGAGAAACCTAAACTTAAGCCAAGGGACAGAAAAAGGATGTTCCCCTCAGGGACGATAATCCTATACTTGAAAAATGTTTAAACAACCAACCCATTGTCTATAAAGTAAGTGCAATGGGTAATTAATGCAAGTTACATTTCAAAAGTCTTGCTGCCTTTTCAGTGGAATTTCTGTCAGAACATAAGACCCACAAGAGAATCAAGTCCTGCCTGTGCCCTACAGGCTGTATGGAAGGGATAGACCTTGCAAGTGAATATCTCATAGCTAATAAGGTTTAGGGTAGGTCAAAAGTTACATTTGTAGGACTTCTTACCAGCATGTCCTGCTCTAAGGTTATTAATCAATTTGTGCTTGTTTGCAGCAAGAGGAACTGGAGAAACAGGTCAAGGAGGCTCAGGATGTTGTGAACACCAACTGTGAGCTTTTCAACACCCATGGCAAGGAAGACTTCCTCAAGGGGTGAGCACGCTCTCGGGGATGTTCCGAGGTGCAAACAGCTCTGCACTTCTGTTGTGCCTCCAGTGGGCTGGCTCTGCTCACAACCAAGGAATGCTCCACTAACAGCCTCTTTGGTTGCCTCTGGCAGGATCCTGATCCGCTACACTAAGAAAATGCCCCAGGTGTCCACTGACACCTTGCTGCAGGTTGGGAAGAAGATGACAGCTGTTGGGGCCAAGTGCTGCAGCCTTCCCGAGAAGAAACGCATGGCTTGTTCTGAGCTATTCGTGAGTCCATGGATTTAGCCTCTCTGCTCCTCTTGGGCATTCCTTCTCTCCTCAAAATCTCACCTGCATTCTGGTGAGATAGCAAACTCACAGTGGTTTTTCAGTGACACTAAGCTAAGCACCTACCTACAGAATTCCAATCTGCTCATTGCTAATGGGTGTGAGAGCCTACATAGCTGCCTGGTGGTAGCTTGTGAAAACTTGGACTGAGCTTTGCTCTCCCTCAGGAAGCAAAATTCAGTTCCTGGAATCATAGAACCACTGAATGAGTGACCTGGGCCCATCCAGTTACAAACCCCTGTCATGGGCAGGGACACCTCCCACCAGCCACTAGGTGCTCAGAGCTCCATGATGGAGTCTGACAGCTAAATAGTCTCTTAAAAAGCCCAGAATTACTGATTGCAGCCCAATGTCCAGACTGTTAGCAGAAGGACAAACACTCAACTCCAAGAATACCTGCTTAAGTTAAATTTTACACCCATGCCATTTCCCAGGAGGTGTTAGGTCCAGCAGCTTCCACTTCCAACTATGCTATTGTGACACAAACATCCCCTATTTCTTCTGGTTTGAGGGAGGGTTTAACTCATCTCTGTCCTTCTGTTTGCAGCTGAACATTGTGATTGATGACATGTGCAAGAAGCAGGAGAGCACCCCTGTCAACGACCAGGTCTCACACTGCTGCAGCGAACCCTACTCCGACCGCAGACCATGCTTCACCACCATGGGCGTGGATCCCAAATATGTGCCTCCACCATTTGACCCTCAGATGTTCAACTTCGATGACAAGCTGTGCACTGCTCCTCCAGCTGAGAGGGAAGAAGGGCAGCTCAAGTAAGCTCCCAGAAATACCTCCTAGGAAAAGTTCTAGCACAGGCTAGAAGGCTCCACTAGCATGGAGAGAAAACCAGATGGAACTGCATGTTTGCACTGACCTGGTCAGTGTATAACATCATGTTGTGTGGAAGAGGCAAAATAGGGTATTTGCTTCCGTAAAAAATCAGTGCCTTAACTGGGCAGTTTCATGCAGGACCATTGCCAAGGCAAGTCCTAAGATGTACTTAATTAAGACAACATGCAGATCATTTTCCTAAGATTTTCCCCACCTTTAACTGGGATAACAAAAAGCAAACAGAGAGTTGTGTTAGGGTGGGAATCTGGAGTCACCAACGAACACAACCCCTCATAAGTGACCTGGACCTGGATAGGAGGGTGTTTTTTAAACCAGGGAACCCAACAGCAACAGGCAGATCAGCTGTGTCCTGTGCCTTTGTCTCCAGATTGCTCGTCAACCTCATCAAGCGCAAGCCCCAGATGACAGAAGAACAGATCAAGACAGTTGCTGGGGGTTTCACTGCCATGATGGACAAGTGCTGCAAGGAGTCAGATATTGATACATGCTTGGGAGAAGAGGTACTTCTTATCTCCTTGTTGTTTAAGAAAACCACCACAAACACACTGAAAACACCCTAAAAACATATACAGGAGACTGGGAACTTTGCTCTAGGAAAGTGGTTCTGCAAACTGCTATATGGTCACTTGTCCCTGTGCCCTTGCAGTGTGCAGAGCATAACACACATCTTGGCTGCACAGATTATAGTCACTGAACTACTTCATGTGGAAAGGTTGTCTGCAGGTAATCTAGTCCAGTCACCTGCTCAAAACACAGCTAATCCTAGATTAGATAAGGTTCCTCAGGGCCCTGTCCAGTAGAGTTGAAGATCTACAAGCCACAGCTGGAAAATACCAATGTGTAAGAATTCAAACTCTATCTCTAGCAAACTTCCTTTTGTGCTACAAATGCTTACAGAACTCTGGGATTGCCTGTATAAAGTCCCTCTGGATCAATTAGCAGAGCTGCCTAGCAAATGCAGATGTATTGGCAGGGGGAGTCCAGCTGATTATGCCACAGGAAAAGCTTGTCTGGAGCCATACTGCATTCCCAGGAAGTATGAATGACAGTTTCCCCTAGCAACCTCATTATCATGTAGGGCATGGAACTGTACCACCAATATCTGAAACTGCTATCGAATCCTTTTATTTCTATCCCAAGTATTGCATAGGTAAATATATCAGGAAGACTTAGGAAAGAATTATTTTGTCTCTAATCCACTCCAAGGGTTTAGTTTGTACTTTTGCAAAATTGAAAGATGCCCAACACCAGGAGCACATGGATTCTAGGGTCAGGAAGTACATTAGAATGATCCTTTGAACATTACACAGACACAAAGTGTAAGTTATAACAGTTCTTGCTCCAGCAACACCTACTTTGCTCCTTGGATTCTCTCTCACAACTGTCTGTATCCCTTTTCCTAGGGTGCAAACCTAATAGTCCAGAGCAGAGCCACATTAGGAATTGGTGCTTAAACTGAGGTAGGTAACAGCAATAATGGACATACATCTTTGCTCCTCCTTGCTCACCCTTCCACCCACTTAACTCCTCTATCCCCCCAAAGCATCCAGTTTCCCTGTAACCACCACCTCTGCTCTCTCTAACCAGTGCCTCACCACCTGCCGTTGCACAGCACATGAGAAGTTGAGGCACTACCAGGACATTCACAAAATGCTCTTTTTGTCCCTCCAATCCAGGTTGCCAGTGGAAAAACATGAAGAAAAAGACTCTGTAACTTCTCCGACCCCTTACCCTTTTTCCTTTGGTACTGAATGTGTCACAAACCTTCTGTGTTTTGTCAGACCATGTGCTTTTCCAGAAACTTTTCAATTCCATTACTTTAACACACACAAAAAAATTGAAGAATAAATAAAAGCTCTATAAAACCGCATCTGTCCTTGTCTGCTGGTGACTTCCCTGAGGCAAAGCTCTGCAGTGCCCCTGACACCAAATGGTTGCTTGAAGCACCATGGAATGGCAGCGATTCCAGATTCTAGATTTTTTTCCCCCCTGTTTCTTGCTCTTGGAAAGTCTGTCTGTATGAAAGAATGTAGCTAGACTTTAACACTCTGATTCAATTACAGATCCATCTTAAGCTTTACTTCAGCCACTATAACTACATAATAAGGGCAGGTTCAAAGGTGCTGTTCATCTAAATGAGATGACTAGCAAGGAGCTCCTATGAGAGGAAAACAAGACTTTTCACGTCAGCCATGTCCAAAGAGAACTGCACACAGCTCTGCCTTTAGACTCTTCTCATGTCTTGGTTTTAGCAACACTTGTGACTTGAAAGTTGTGTCCTGGAAAGCCCATCCATAAATCCTGCCCTTCACTGCAGGAAGCTCCTGAGAGACATTCCCTGGTTCTGTGCCCATGGGCAATGTGGTTTTCTAGTCCATATTTCATTACTGGCCATTGACACAACCCCCAAGTGTTGCACACCTGAACAGGGACCCTGGCAGAGCCCCTGTGTAACAAGGCATTTCACAGGGGTAGGTTTCTTGGCCTTGAGGCTCTTTGTGCCTATACTTCCCAAACTGGCAACATTCTCCAGGCCATGGAAGTACACTCAGGATGAAACAGCCAGAGAGATTGGGCTGAAAGCTGAACAGGATCAATCCTGTTACAACTGAAAGGTTTGAACATTCAGCCACTCAAAGTCGCAGTTGTGTTGGTTTAGCAGAGCTGATGTGACCCCAAAGCATTCCCAAACACTTCATTCAGGATTCAAAGCTGTGAGAATTTGAGGAGGAATCATTTGGAAGCCACAGTTAAGCTCCTCTTCCCTTAGTTTAAGGGAACAGAAACAGGACATTCCCATAAGTCATTCACCATCCAAACAATGTGAGAGTCATTCCCTGCAGCAAGAACCAACCTGTTCCAGGACAGTGAGGCTGTGGTGAATGAGGAACAGCTAAGCCTGTTGGAGGAAAGGATTCAGGGAAAATTCTGAGGCACAGAAGTTGGCACTAGTCCCACAAACCTGTCAAAATCCATGGGTTTCCAAAAGCTATTGGATTTCCAGCTGAACCCCACACCATTCCACATCACAATCCTTGCCTGTGCCCATTCCCTTCCTGCCATACTTGGTGTGGCCCTTGAACAGTTCCACATGCAAAGAATTCCACGAAGATTTAGCAATTAAAAGCATGTTTCTAACTCATGTGTCTGCCACTTTGCTGCTCCAGAGAGATAATTAATAGAGGAATTATTTCCAGTCTGCATTTATCATTTATTGATGCTGCAGAGAGCAGTGTGTCCAGAGAGCAGAACTGAGTCAAACACCAGCACACCAAATATATGTGACTGGAATTGATTTCCCTGGATTCCACCCCCATTTCTACCATCCACAGGAACTTTGGTGTTTCACCTGCACGTCACAGTGCCTTTCCGCTGGCATAAGGACAGAGCTCTGCAGCCAAGCTGCAGCACTTCAACAAGTCTCTTCGGCCTCAGTGTTGATGTGGTTTTGAAAATTACTTCCCAAGAGCTTCTGCTCCCATGCTGAGCAGTATTTCATCTATTCCCTGGGCTCTTTTGGTCTGTGGCTCTCCACAGCTGATATTTTTTGTCCATATGAGGTTTGTTTCCAATGAACTGACTTTCCTTTTTCCCTTGCAGAGTCTGAATGGAGAAGGAGAAGGACTAGACAGATCTGCAGCCACAGCCAAGACTGGTACAAAAGTGTTCTTTACTCACCTCAGTGTTGCCTAAAGAGGTAAACCTGCCCCTAATGACCTGGAACTCACTGAAATCTCTGCTCCCTGTGTGCAGACGAAGCAGGTCCTCTGCCTTGCCCAAAGGTGCTGAGTGAGCAGGTCACTGCAACCCTCAGTTGCCTTGTGCTAACAGTGCTGGTGTGGCACTAAGATAACTGGCCTGGACAGGCAGCCACGGGGGTCATCTGGCCAGGCCATTGCACCTCTGGGTGCCACATAAGCCAAGGACAAGTTGTAAATGCCACACTTTGTACTTTGCCATGTCCAGTTCAGTTGCAATAGGCCTGAGGTGGGATTTGGAACAGAGATAAAAGCAGGGCTGTGCTGCTCAGGAGGTTAAGGGGAGGGTGGTGCAGGGGCAAAGGGGTTTAACTTGAGAGATTTCTTACTTTTCCCATTCCTGATGTTGTAGGTTCATGTTATGCCCTTATAACTACTTGGCACATAGGGTTTGCTGCCCAGAAAGGGCTTGTAGTGTTGGTAACGTACGCAGCAGCCTCTCCAAAGATCACTCCTTGGAAGCTTTCACACCAAGCACTGGGCTGCAGATCCCCTTCCCAACACCCAGAGCTCCCCAGGACCAACGATTCCTTCCTCTCTCCCTCTTTGGGGGTGATACCTACTTCATTGCAAATTACCCAGGAGGACACTCATTGCACTGATCACACAAAGGGGAGAAGCTTCTCCTGGAAACGATCGTAAGGCAGGACAAGGAGATATCCAATGAAACCTTTGCATTGTGGTGGGAAGGGAAGCATCCTACAGCCTAAGGGCAGACACCCAGTTCTCCTGATGCAGTCCTGCTGGCACCTCCACCCCACCAACCAGACTGGGACTTCAGCTCCTGAACAGAGCTCTCAGCCCTCCAAGCCCAAAATAGGTATAAATTTTCTTTGCTTTTTTTGTACTACCAAAAATGTTGCCTCAGAAGAGATGGGCCCTGTGGCAAACAATAGCTCATGGAGTTACTGGAACAATGAAACCTTTGCATTGTGGTGTGAAGGGAAGCATCCTACAGCCTAAGGGCAGACACCCAGTTCTCCTGATGCAGTCCTGCTGGCACCTCCACCCCACCAACCAGACTGGGACTTCAGCTCCTGAACAGAGCTCTCAGCCCTCCAAGCCCAAAATAGGTATAAATTTTCTTTGCTTTTTTTGTACTACCAAAAATGTTGCCTCAGAAGAGATGGGCCCTGTGGCAAACAATAGCTCATGGAGTTACTGGAATGTTTCTTTCCTGCTCTAGAAGTGCATCTTGGTTTTGATACAGTTTCATAGTACGTTAAGGGGTTGGAGTGGATCTTAGAGCTCACCCAGCCCCAACCCCTGCCCTGGGCAGGGACATCTCCCACCAGAGCAGGTTGCTCAAGGCTCATCCAACCTGGCTGTGAACACTGCCAGGGTTGGGGCAGCCACAGCCTCCCTGGGCAACCTGGGCCAGGGTCTCACCACACTCACAGGGAAAACTTCTTCCTGAAAAATGGAAGACAAAGTGAAAATCTGACTAGCAAAACTCATAGGGTACAAATCTGCCCACATGCCACAGAGGTGGCCAAAGTGCACTTTAGTTGAAACCTTGACATCCCAACACAGAGAAGTCCTCCTGGGACACCTGGTAATTTATTCCCAGCAGTGGGACCATGCCAAGCACCCAGTCACTCTCCACACACATGCCACTGGCACAGGCATCCAAGGTGTCCTCACAAGCCCAGAGATAAGAGGGATTGAAACAAGCAGTGCCAGCAAAGCAGCGAGGAAAGTTGTTTCATTCCCAGCCAAGTGGCTCAGAGGAGCCAAAGGACAGAGGAATGTGCTGCCAGGCTGGGGCAGCACTAGGTGTGCCTGGCCTGGGCCTGCTCCCACTGCCACTGCCAGAGCTCATCCTGCCTCCTGTGCCAACATGCTCACACACCCAGCACAGGGAGAACTGTCAGCTCTCAGCAAGCCCAGGGGCCCCACAGAACACAGACTGAAACGAGGGGGAAACACATGGGTGAATCTTTTTGTTCCCTGAAGTGAAAAGAATCTGAACAGGATCCTCTTAGTGAATGGTTAGGATTACACCATGCACAGCTTTTCAACATGCATCAGCCCAGAGGAGGGCTGGGGAACAGGAGAACCCTTGAACACCACATCCAGAATTGCTTGGTTTGGATGCAACAAGTCATACTCTGTACTGGCAGCCTATGAATTTGTAAGGCCTTTTAGAAACAACAAGGTCTGGGCTACATGTCTGTTCACAAAAGAGGTTAGGACATGCACTTTTGGCACAATACGTCCACTCAGGAAATCATCTCCAGGTCAAACAGAAGCTCCTGAGTGATTCTGATATAATTAGTCATTGGCAGGGGCTGAAAAGAACAGTTCTTGCCATCAGACTTCGCAGCACAGCCAAGTAATCACAGAGTCATTAGCAGCAATGAAGGGAACAACTTGGATTTCCTTCCTGCTTTGCCTCAGGCCACACACTCTGAGCAGATCTGAACAGACAGGTAATGAAGGACGTGTAATCGTCCCTGCCACACCTTAGCTTTTAAGGCACAGATTCAGCAACTGCCACCCTCTCTCCAGGGATCTGGAGGGAAAACCTTCCCCTCTCCTCCATAAACTTCCGAGGAGCGTTTAAAAGCCAAAGGGAAAATGCTGTTTCAGTAAGCCTCAATGGTCACTCTGCAGCCACAGGAGAGAACTAGGCTGGACGTGACCCGAGCTGCCAGAGCATGCATGGCAAATTCCCTGTATTCCAGCAAGAGGAGCTGAGCACAATCCCAGCTCAGAGCACCTGGAATGCCATTCACACCTGTGCAGCAGGGCAGGTGCTGGTTCTAGAGCTAAACACTTGCAGGGAAGACTCAAATGTGTTCTGTGAAAGTGAGTTTTCTTAGGGAATCTGCAATTAGCTAACTGAATAACATGGAAAAACTGACATGGTTTTGGCTTTCAATGGAAAGCTCAGTGTATCCAACCACAAAGCAATTCCCAGTGGGAGATGAGGAGAAGGGTCAGGCTGTTCAATGAAAGCTGAGCGAAGCAAACCTGCCACAATGAACCAGACTCTCTTTGCTGCATTTTTAGCATGGAAACCAATACTTTATCATTTGATTTTCAAATCCAGGCATTACAACTCAATGCTCTTCACAGCAGGGAATTATTCCACTGTTCCTAAGAGGAATACTTGATCACTTCTGTAGGTTTAAACCCACCACTCAGCCAGGGCTGTTGGTTTCACAGGGTCACAAAAGAGCACTAAAACAAGGCGTATTCTAAACCACATACTCAGCTAAGGTCCAGCCACATTCCTTTCCTGCCATTTCCATGTAAAAACACAAACATGAACCATGTTTTCAGTAAAAAACAGAGTATGAAGCTCCCCCAAGCCTCTTACACAGCATGTGCCAGTAATTGAAGGTACCTACATTGAAAGTAGCTCCCAATATCTCGACAGAGCAGCTCAGATTTTGTATAAAGACAAACTTTCTGACACCCGGGGAAGAATCTCTGTTCCTCCAAGTGCACAAACTTCCCCTGGACATGGCTCTTTTCATAGTGGGCACCCAGGATTTTACCAGATCCACACCCTCCAGGCATAAACAGAGGGTGCCACAGAGTCCTTACTTTACCAGGAAACACCATTGTTGAATGTCAAGAAGACAGTGAGCACTCAGGATTTTACCAGATCCACACCCTCCAGGCATAAACAGAGGGTGCCACAGAGTCCTTACTTTACCAGGAAACACCATTGTTGAATGTCAAGAAGAATTAATTATTGATAATGACATGAAGAAATCAAACCAAGTCAAGCCAAGAGGGAGATGGAGCAATTCTGCTCTCCTCAGCAAGAGCAGAAACAAGAGAGCTGAGCTCAGGACACACAGGTTTGCCCTTTGCAGACCTAGCTTGAGGCTGATAACCACTGGCTGAAGCCTGCCAGGAACACACACCAGCCCAAAACACAGAGTGAACATCATAGCCAATAATATCCAGTAAAAACTGACTCACCTCTCTGCTGCTTAGCACCCAGAGCAGAGGAGCTCCCACAGTGTGACCCTCTGGGCATGTCAGGAGTGTACTGAGCCTTCTCCCCACCCATCCCAGCTGCTGGGAATCACAGCTCCACACCTGAGGGCAATCAGTGGCTTCCAGCTCTATCCTGAGCCTGCAGGACAGTTCCCAAGGAGTTCTGGAAGCTGCTTGGTCCTCAGCGTGTGTCAGACTGAATCAGCCCAGTGGTGTCTGTGCTTTCAGGGACCATGGCAGCTCTTCATGGGGACCTGAGCTTCTCATTCCTAGTGCTGGCCACACTCCTGCTTTCTAGTGAAATGCTCCACACACATTTCCCTCCTGCAAAGGAGTGTTCACAGCCCAATTGTCAGCCCAAGAGTGGCAAAAGTTTTCCATGACAAGTGAAAAGCAGTTAACCATCCTTCTGAGCATGGACAGGGGCAGTGAAGGGAGTGTTCCAGGCCAGGCTGGATGGGGCTTGGAGCAGCCTGGGCTACTGGAAGTTGTCCCTGCCCATGGCAGGGGCTGGGACCAGGTAAGCTTTAAGGTCCTTCCAACCCAAACCAGTTTGGGATTCTGCAACTCTATAGTGATCATATATATACATGGAAATACATTCCTTGCCTACCTCTCTCTGTGTTACCAATACCTGCAGCTCTCTAAAGCCATTCTATCTCCCCAAAATCTGGTATTGTTCTGATGCTTACAGCATACTTTTAAAAACATCAGTAAACTTCCTGATTAGCTGGCACTGCACAGCTTGTGCAGCAAGGAGGGCTGCAGAAACAGCAGGGGAACAGCTGGACTGGGGCTGTCTCAGCCACCACTCTGCTCCAAGGGCTTCTGCACAGCAACCACCTTTGGGCAGTCTGTGAGTGGGTGAGATCAGTGTGCACAATAAAAAGCCCCAGGAGTGTTTGAACTGCCTGTGTGGAGTGTGATAAGTAGAAAAATGTCTATTTGTCTAAATTTCTGGGAGGGGGGGAAGGAATCTCCAAGGTCCTTCCTTTGCAACCAGGTGGTCAGTCCATCATCCTGAGCAAACACTGGCATGTCTAATTATTGTGGGAGTATTCCCAAAGGGCTGGTGTGAAATCTCACAGCAGAAGGGTTCTGATTAACCAGGAATCCTTTGGGAGAGCATAAAAGTAAATCTTTCCCCTTGATTAATTCTGCTTTTCACGGATGAGCCACACTCACCCCAGGCCCTGCCAAAACCTGACAGTATGGACTGGAGAACACTCACTCACGCTGTTTTACTGCTGAGCCTCACAGCAGCCAGAGCCCTGCCTAGAGCTTCTCAGGATGCAGGTAAGGATCTGTGCCTTATTTTCCCTCTGTTTGTTGGTGTAACACTGACAGCTGCACTTGGTTATCTGCTGGCTCCCTTGGCCACTCAGGTCCGTGTGAGGAGTTTCTTGTGGGTCAGAACTGTACCTGGATAAATCTGTTGGGATCAGCCTTAGATGTGCTGCTGCTTAATTCCTTGAGAAGCTCTGTAGTGTGTGGGGATTACAGAGAGGAAGTGTGTGGAAGGGGGACTTGAGAGGAGCTGCAGTGAAGGGGAATTTCCCCTGCCTAGCAACGCTTGAGCTACAAAAAAAAAAGGTATTTTATGAGGTATTTAGTCAATATTTTTGATTCAAATTATCTTGTTTTTTAGAGGAAAGAAACAGCATTGGCCAACGTTTTTCCCAGCTGCAGGAGAACAATTTTAAAGCCATGTAAGTTGTCCAGGCAAAGTGTCTCCCTGGGAATTTGCTGGCACTGCACAGCCTTGTGCCACTGGGAATGAGCACAGCGAGTCCCAGCCCAGAGTGATACAAACCCTCTCAGTCACCTCAGAGCTCTCTGTGAGTGCCTGTGTTGCAGAAAGAGGTTTAACACTGTGTTCCTCTTGTAGTGCCCTGGTCATGTTTGCCCAGAACGTGCCTGGAGGGACATTTGGCCAAGTGGCTGAGATGGCAGAAGGGGTCACAGCCCTGGCCAAGAGTTGTGCAGCAGCACCCAGCCACAGCCCCGACTGCCTGAAGCCTCTGGTAAGCTCAGCCATATTTCCAGTGGGGAAAACCTTCCCACAGGTGCCTTGTCATCCCAGAGCCCTGGCAGGAGTTTTGCCAGAGGGGCGTGAATCCATTACTAAGAGACACAACCTCCTTGTGTGTGTTTGCCTCATGGACTCTCCTTCTCCCATCTCTAAGGGTGAACTCGTAATTTTTCACAGGACAGGATTTTCCTGGATACAATATGCCAGAAGGAAAATCTTGCCAGCTTTGTTGAGTGCTGTACTAAAAAGGACCCTGAAAGAAAAGACTGCTTCCTCTCCCTGAAGAATTCCTCCCAGGGGTTTGTGTCTCCTTTGGAAAGGCCAAGTGCTGAAGCTGCCTGCAGAAACCACTCCCAGCACCAACAGCCCCTGACAGCACAGTAAGTGACACTTCATGGATTACCTGCCTGGGTGTCACAGTGATGGGCTGGAGACAGCAAATGCAGCATCAACCAGAGAGCTCAGCCTAAGAGTCCCTCTCATACAAATTCTTCTCCCTAATGTGAGTTATTTGCACCATTCATGTGGCTGTAATTGCCATTCTGTGCAGCCTCTTGTCCCACCTTCTGCTTTGGCTGCAGCTCCAAGTGACAGCCAGTCTGGCCTGGTTTCTTGTATTCCATAGAAAATACTCACCTGAAACCAAGGGCCTCCCTTTGGTGCCTAAAACCCAAGCAGGAGTTGTGTCGCCGGAGCTGGCAGGATTTGACACTTCAATTTCCAGGAAAACATCAGCCCCATCAGGATTTCCCAAAGCAAACACATCACTGTGCAGCTGTTTGTTATGTCAGGGACCCAATCACTTCAGTAGTTATCATCACTTTTATCCTTTTGATATCATCTGACTCCAAAACTAAAGGTATTTTTCTCTGGTTTCAGTTTTATCTATTTCATATCTTTTATCCTTTTGATATCATCTTACTCCAAAACTAAAGGCATTTTTCTCTGGTTTCAGTTTTATCTATGAGGTTTCCAGGAGACATCCCTTCCTCTATGTGCCAACAATCCTCTCTGTGGCTCTCCGGTACGAGGAGATGATGAGGAACTGCTGTGGGAGCACTGAAGGGCCCACAGAGCAGCTGGAGGAATGCTTCCAGAGACAGGTATCCCAGCACTTGGAATCCTGGGTTATTCATGTGCACCTGTGGTCCAGACATCAGGCAATGACATCAGCACTTCTCTTTCAACCTGTAAACCTGACCCTAGAATTCCCCTTGTTAAGCACATGCTGAAGTCACACTGTCCTGAGCTCCCTGGTGACCATTTCTTCCCTGTGCTAAAAGCACTGAGCTATTGCCTAAGAGGCTCTGCTTTTCACAGAGCCCCTGTTTCATGCAGGTGACTAAACAGCAGCACAACAGTTGGTTCATTTTGCAGCTGCACAGCATTTTTCTTTCACTAATTAAAGCTCCCTGTTTGAAAACCATCACTGCAATAGTTTTAGTGTAAGGCCTTGTCTTCTCTTCCACTTTCATGGCTGCATCTCCTTTCTGCCAGGCACCAAAGGTGGTGAAGCCAATAAGAGAGGATACCCTGAGGCAGGAACACACCTGTGGAATCCTGAAGAAGTTTGGAGAAAGGACCTTAAAGGCTCTGTGAGTCTTCCCCGTGTGTTTGTTACTATTTTGAAACCAAGCTGTGTGTGGCTCCACAGTGACTCTGAGCACCAGCCCTGTCCTTTCTGTGTGCAGTCACTTGCTGCATCTAACCAGGAGAACAGCTTAGGAAGACAGATTTGTGTGGCAGCATCACCTTACAAACTGCCATTAGCTCCCAAACTCTATACCCAAAGTCTGAAACTCTGTGATGAACATTTGTGAGCAAAATACAGCTCATCCCTCTGAACCATTTCTGACACAAAGTTGCTCCTGTGACTAACTTCATGCTCCCCCACCTTATTTTATTTCCACCATCTTGCGCTGACATTCACAAAGATCCTTCAGTAACTGAAAATCTCAGCTGTGGGCTCCGAGGGACATGTATTTACCTTCAGTGGGAGTAGGGAGAGACATCCCGGAGCAGTTTGGGTCCCTGTGCCACAGAATGATGATGATAGCTATCACAGTCTCCCATTGGGTATATAAACAATAACTATCTTTCTTCCTTGCAGGAAACTTGTCCAGATAAGCCAGAGATTCCCCCGGGCTGATTTTGCCAGTGTTCACAAGCTGGTGCTGGACGTGGCTGCCATGCACAGGGAGTGCTGCCGCGGGGACACGCTGGGCTGCACGCGGGGCAGGGTACAGCTCCTCTGCACTCCCCTCCTGGCATTTAGTGATGCTTTGGTGTTGCTTCCCGGTTTTCACATTTCCTGTTCTGTTGACAGGAAGGGATCCTGCACTATGTGTGCACCAACCAGCACAGCCTGTCCAGCAGGATCCAGCAGTGCTGTGAGAAGCCTCTGCTGCACAGGAGCGAATGCCTCCTTACCACAGAAAATGATGTCAAACCTGCAGGCCTCTCCCCCCACATCAGGGAGTTCATAGAAGACAAGGGAATATGTGAACGTTTTGCTCAGGAAAAAGACACACACTTAGCCAGGTGACAGAGGAATTCCTCTGTGAGATTCTCCCAGTTCCACCCCAAAATCCACCCCTGCCCTTCCTACCCCCTGACCTCCCCAGGGCAGTTGTTTTGACTGGTCTCTAACTCCTGACCTCCCCATGTTGCAGGTTTCTGTATGAATACTCCAGGAGACACCCAGAATTCTCTGTGCAGATGCTTTTAAGGATTGGCAAAGGCTATGAGGACCTGCTGCAGGAGTGCTGCAGGCCTGGGGCTCCCAGTGGCTGCCACAGCAGGGGGGTAGGTGCTGGCACATCCTGGGGCTTCACACAGCACACAGAGCAGGTCAGGCATGTCAGCCCATCGCTAAAAAGTCAATATCCCTGCTCCAGCTCCAGAGCCACAGCTCCTGTAACAATCCCAGCAAATACTGCAAGGTCTGACTGATTCCCAGATGGGAAAAGCACCAACAGAACCTTCACAGTCTTCAGCTGCAAAGCAATTTAATGGATAGATGGAGAGGGAGAGAAAGGGATGGAGCTATCACTTCTGTGGGCCCTGCTCCCTTTAGGGCTCCTGAGCAGTGCCAATTCCCTCTTCCAAATGTAAAAGGTGATTACAGTTCTTAGATACCCTGAGGTCAGGAACTGCCTGGTGTCTCAGACCAGGCCTTGCCGTAAAAGGTGATTACGGTTCTTAAATACCCTGAGGTCAGGAGCTGCCTGGTGTCTCAGACCAGGCCTTGCAGCAGCCACACAAAGTTCCATAGGTCAGGGGGGATTGGAGGGGACATTTACCACATTTAGGCAGTTTACAGAGGTTTCAGACAGAACTGGCATCAAAAACAGGTGGTCCATGTCAGGTGAGAGGGAGCTGTGGGCACCCAGGCAGTGCCACAGGGCACAGCATTCCCCACTGCCAAAACTCCTCAAATTCACTGGGTTTTTTTTCCAGGAGGAAGAACTGAAGAAACACATTTATGAAACAGAAAGTGTCATGAGGACCAGCTGTGACATTTACAAGGAGAAAGGAGATTACTACTTCCAAAATGAGTATGGCTTTTACCTACACTGCTTTACCCTGTTCCAGCTGGGCTCAGCCAGGCTGGAGTCACACCATGTGGGTCACACCAGCCAGGCTCAAGGCACCACTGGAGTATGTGGTTTCACACAGCCAGAGCAAGCTTACACCTGCCTACCTGAGCAGATAAGCAGCAGACTCAGCCCTGCCCCTGTGCTAAGCTAAGGAACATTCCATGGGATGTGGCTGCAGTGTCCATGGGAAGGCAGCGGCTGCTCACTGCTGCTGGCAGAACAAAAACCCTCATAGTACAAAACATGTCCTTTCAGGCTCCTCATGAGCTTCACCAAGAAGATGCCTCAGCTAACATCTGCAGAGCTGATCAAGTTCACCAAGGAAATGACAACCATCGGCTCCAAGTGCTGCCAGCTGGGCCAGGACAAGCTGCTGCCTTGTGCTGAGGAAAGTGTGAGTGTTAGCCTTTTCTGGCTGGGTCCTACTTCTCCTTGAAACTCTGCCAGAAGTCCAAGAAGGGTCCAAGAGTTTGGAGTGATGGTCAGTAAGAGAAGTGTTCCTGAGGTGCTGAGCTGGCCTGAAGATGTATTTCCATGGTGATTCTTGGGGTGGGCCTGTGCAGGGCCAGGAGTTGGACCTTGATGATGAGCCTTGTTGGTCCCTTCCAGCTCAGGAGATTGTTATTCCCAAGATTTCTATGCACAAAGAACAGTCCCTAAAACTGCATATTCATGTTTAGCCACAAAAATCTGAGCTGTTTCTGCATGACCCAGGTCAGCATCTAGTACAAACATCACCTAGTCTCCATCTTACAAACAAGGTTTCACTGAAGTTCCCTTTCTCCCAACTTCACTGTGAGCAACGTGTGTTTCAGGGATTTCTCCAAATCAGCATAACGTTGTGTTTTCCATTCCCTTGGCAAAGCTGGACCTCGTGCTTGGGGAGATCTGCAGGAGACACCTGGCTGATCCCATCAACCCCGGCGTGTGCCGCTGCTGCAGCAGCTCCTATGCCTTCCGCAGGCCATGCATTGGGAAGCTGGAGGTGGATGAGAGCTACATTCCCTTGGCACTGACTCCAGGGCTGTTCTCCTTCCATGGAGACTTGTGCACGATGGAGGAGGAGAAGTTGCAGCACAGGAAGCAGGAGTAAGTCATGCTGCTTTGCTGCTCCCCCTGACACTGCTCACCTTCCCCTTGCCCACTGTGCTGCCTTCTCTTTGGAACACTCCAGAGCCAAGCACTGATGTTACCTCGCAGGGAACAGCTTTGCTGGGTGGTGACTAAGCTGAGGGAAGGCAGTGGGTGGGAAGAGAACAGGAATTTTGGAGGCCTGGGGGTGGAGGATTGCTCCCCTCCCAGAGCTCTGCTGCCTTGCAGGATGCTGATCACCCTGCTGAAGTACAAGCCCCAGATCAGCCCGGAGCAGCTGAGCTCCGTCACAGCTGCCTTCGCTGCCATGAGGGAGCAGTGCTGCAGGGAGGCTGACCCCGAGGCCTGTTTCCTCACAGAGGTACTGCTTCTTTCCACCCAAAGTCCCTCTGCAACTGGGACAGAAAGGGTACATTTGCATTTCGGGGCACAGCACTTTCCCTGTTTATCTCTCTGCTTCCTTTCCTCTTCCCCCTCTTCAGCTCACTCAACTTCACAGCCCAGAGCTGCTTTGGCTCCTCTTTACCCTCCAGTAAATCCACTTTTCCCTACTTCTCATCTCTTTGCTATATTCCTTAACTGAACTTTCACAAACCATCTCCAACCTTTGAGCCTTGCTCTCTCTTAAGTCTTTGCTTTAAATGATAAAATACAGAAAATTCTCTTTGATTAGTAAGTAATTTCCACCTCTGGATACACCCAAACAGCACATCCAGAAAGGATTGTACTGACCCTTCCTAGCAGAACTCTATGTCAGTGTTTTCCTGACCAATACCACATATAAGGCCACCTGAACTGAGCAGCTAAAGCAGAATGTGTATTGAACAGTGATGAATCTGTGCTCTGCACACAGTGCTGTGCACACTTTGCCAAGCTTATAGAGCAGGACCTGCAGCTGAACCTGTCACAAGTGCATCAATCACCCTCCTGACACTGTAGCTCACAGGGATTTTCCTGTTTTCCAGGGTCCAGAGCTCGTCAAAAGGAGCGAGAAGAAGCTGTCAGCGTGAGGAGCTGCACAGCATGTGGGAAGGCCCTCACTGGATGATGGAAGTGACACAAATTGCACAGGGAGCATTTAAACCACCCCCAGTGACTGCAAGCCAGGTTTATCCCAGAGAGAGGTTGCACCAGCCTAAGGAAATCCACTGACAGAATGAGTTACATGATGGAAATTCAGGGCTTGGCTGTGGCCACCATCTCCTGGGATGGAATGTTATTTTATTACACCAGATAGTCACAGATCAAAACAAGGAAAGGCATTTAAAATCTTTAGCTGCAAAGCATAAATGCAAATGAGAAATTCAGAAAATCTGTGCCTGTACTCACTTCTAAATTACTTTTCAGTCACCAAGTAATTATTTTGGCATTTCTGTAACACTGGCCTTGACCTACAGCAGATGTACTCACTGATCTGAGCTGTTCTAAGGTGGGTATAAAGTTGCCCTTTAAGAACAGAAGAAGGTTATCTTGGGCATCCTAGAACAGGTGAGAAAGAAAAATGAGTAAAATGTCACAGTAGGACAGGGCATGGACTGCTGAAACACCTGGTCAGCAGGCACATGTACCAGCTCAGGTAAGATACAGACTCAAAGTGCTGTCGTGGTGGTTAATGGCTCTGAATCCATTTCCTGTGTACCCATTTGTCATTGCTGTCTTACCCTGAGTGTCCCAAAATGGTTTGGAATAAATTCTTCCCCTGCTTCTGCCTGTTTGTCAGAAATGGCTCACATAGACAATACAGCACTCACACAGAACCAACCCCACAGCAGGCACAGCCTCATTCCACTCACCCCAAAATCGCAGCTGACTCCACCTAGTCTGTGCCCTGTTCCAGTCATCTTCTAGCATTTTCTGTCCCAATTCAGCAGGGTAAGGCTAATATAACAAGGATAATAAAACAAGGATAAATAAAAAGGATTCAATTACTGTACATCAGGTGATGGCAAAGATGGGTCATTATAGGAAGAGTGACCATACATAGAGGATTGGAGAACCTACTTGGAAACTCTTTTGCTCATGGGCTATGCACTGATTGCTTCATACCAATTAATAATGAATGTTCAATAGTCCAGTATTTTCTCTTGGGTTCACACTGTTCCTCCAGGGAACTTTTATTTGCAACTCAACAATTTCAATCAGCATATTGACTTCTGTTTTTAAGTTGCCATCTCAGGGAGTGTAAAGTTTTATAACTCCACCTGTCCTACACATGGATTTTCTCCTTCTCAGTGTTTGGGACCTGTGTAAGGCAAAGGCAGCTGAGGCCAGACAGATCCCAGGTGAAAACCACCAAGTGACAGAGGAAGGCAGATAACTTTGCACACATTTATTTATTTCCATCTCTCATTGGAGCTTTACTATCCAACACAACTCAGCCAGACAGGCCCCACAGCTGCCTGCGCTGCCCTGTGCGGGGCCAGGCTGGACACAAAGTGCATCCGTGGGGAGGGCCCCAGCCCAGCCCTCCCTGCCTGGGACATTCAGCCTCTCACCAAGCACCTCTCCATTCCATCTCCACACAGGAAGGACCACAGAATCACTTATTTCAACAACATAACCCGCTGAGGCGATCCCAGGACCCAACAGTGTGTAGTGAGAGTTCTGCCTTTGCAGCTCATGAGGTATTTCAGGGATAAATTCCCCCTGATGGTTAAGAGCTGAGTAGCTACTAAGTTGGAAGGTTTCTAGTTATGTTTTTCTAACTGCAGCTCCAAGCTTAAGCCAGTTCAGCACCCATGAGCCTGGAGCCAGTGGTGTTTCAGGTCCCTCAGGGTATAAGCTAAGTGAAAATCCTACCTGCAGGCTTAAATACATAAACATGTTTAGCCACTTGGCTCTACTGAAAAGCTTCCTGCTAATATCATTCCATGTTTCTCTAACAGAGAGATAACCACATACTTATTTTGCATATTGTCTCTATGATTAACACAGGATTTTGCTATGCCAGCCTCTTGGGTTGTACCTCAGCAGGGTTTAAAGCCTTGGGCTTTGCAGAGGATTTTTTTCCCTGGGTTCCAAGCCAGACTCAGCATCTGTTGTTTGGGGGATGTAGTGCATCTCCACAGGTGGGTCCCAACCCACATCCCAGTGCTGCAGGAGTGGGTGAGGACAAGTTGTTGTCAGGAGAAACTCCCACACGTGGCACACCCTGAGCTTCACATGCTCCTCAGTGCCAGCCCATGGAAGGAAGTAGCACAGGGACTGCCCTTGGGCACACCCTGGGTGTTCCCTGGGGCCCATTCCCATCAAACCTCCGTCTCCGTCCGTGGAACAGTTCGGCTGTGAAGCTGCTGCAGTATCAAGGCCCTCTCCTTTAGGTACCTGAAACAGAGAAGGAATGAATTTAAATAACAGCATCCTGCAAAGAGTCAACCCAAATACTAATAAGCCGCTCAAATGGCAGTGAAAACTTTCCCAGAAGAAAAAGGCAGGTGCTATTTACTTTCTATACATTTTCTGGCCACTTGGATTCAGAGTGCCTATCAAACCATCAGTTAATAACAGATCCACAGCTGGTGCACCCTCTTGGTGCTGTTGGCCTCAGGACTCAGATGCTCACAAATACCAGTGTATGTGTGGCTTGTTCCTGCTGTGCCTTTTGAGCTCTTGCCAGAGGAATTCCTGCCATTCACCACAAGTTTTAAAGGGACATTTGGCACTGATGTGGCTTAAATGCTGCAGAACCTAAGCAGTCCCACAGTGTGTCCTGCATTTATCCTCTCCAAGGGAATACACACCAGCAAGTGCCAACTGAGGAACCAGTTGAAGGCTTGGAAAACAAACTAAATAAATAGAAGTGATCCTGAGGGTCCCAGTTTTCTGGAAATATCCCCCCCTGTGTGTGTAGTCAGTGTTTATCCTGGAATATATCCCCCGCCCTGTGTGTAGTCAGTGTTTATCCTGGAATCTTTAACAGCAGCAGCTGAGTATGTAGGACAGGGAAAGGACTATAAATCCCACCAATCCCTTGAGCATTCCCAGCAGGGTCCTACCTGCACTCTGCTGCTACAACATGTTTCTCTCTTGAGCCAGCCCTTAACTGTACAGAGTGCCCTGGACTCAGTGACCCCCTTGTGCCCTGTGTGTAGTCAGTGTTTATCCTGGAATCTTTAACAGCAGCAGCTGAGTATGTAGGACAGGGAAAGGACTATAAATCCCACCAATCCCTTGAGCATTCCCAGCAGGGTCCTACCTGCACTCTGCTGCTACAACATGTTTCTCTCTTGAGCCAGCCCTTAACTGTACAGAGTGCCCTGGACTCAGTGACCCCCTTGTTCTGTATCTATTCACCTTGAAGCTGTCTGTTGGATCTCCTGCTCCTCCTCTTCATTTAGTCTGCGCAGAATGGATTCCAAAAAGGGCAGATGGAATTGCATGTACTGAGCAACCTGTCAAGGAGCAGACAGGATATGCACGTGGGAACTGTGGTAACGGGGCAAACCCCTGTGAACCACCAGGCCTGACAATATACATACATCACTGCTGATCTCTTCCACATCCACATCCATGAGAAAGAACTTGGCAATCTTCTCCGAGGGCCCCTGCAGTAGCCTGTGCAGCAAGGGAACGTCTCCACTCCTCAGCTGCTTCTTCTCTGGGATTTATAAGGAATGTCATGACACACAGAGCACACCACAGAGCCTTTTTCCCTGACACAGAACCCATATCTGACCAGTGTGTAATTTCCAGTCAGATAATATTCTCTAATATTTGCCACTTAAGGTACATTCCTCCTCAGTTCTTTCCTGTTATTTAATAAAGATCAAATCTCCTATTTCCTGAAGAAGTAAGAGAGAACTGCTGTGGAAGTAAACATTTTCCACTGAAAAAGGGGTACTTTGAACTTGGCATCTGCAATCCCAAAGTGTCAGC